ATCACAAATTTGAAAAGCAGATTTCACAATTTAAAGAAGCTTCAACACCAGAACATATGTTTAAAGATCTGATACTTTCCTTTCAGCGTGTGGAAAAGGATACCATTGGACATTGGACCCAAAGTAAGGTGAAAATTTCATGCCACTTTCATTTTCAAAAGAACTATACAGAAAGAAGGAACAGAAAAATGTGTATATTGGTCTGGACATCTTATTGTCTTGTAATTCATTGTAACAGAAAAATGGTGTTGAAACAATATAAAGGTAAGGCCTAATGTCAGATGTGTATTACTTTCTACTTTGTCTGTATACAAAACTCCTGCCACATCTGATGTTCAGAACTAATTTTAAGTATAAACAACTGGAAATATCAGTATCAGTTGGATTTTCCCCAACGGAACGCTAATTTGGACCTAACAAAAGTAACTGATATCCCCCCCCACACATGAAATGAACCAAAATGAAATACAAGAAGAAACTGAGAACTGAACTGCACTATATCAAAAAATTGCAGGTAAGCTCAGTTTCACAAGCTTCATTGGCATTAAGAGTTTTCAAGCAATATGGTATCTACCTCAGCTGAACTGTGTTTCTTGTCTTACATGTAATCCTAGCACAGAGCCATATAAGAATCAAACTTGGAGAACTGAAATTGAGAAAGACTGCCTGAGTTGGGTTAAATTAGGGAACATTTGCATAAGTCTATCAGAGATCTTGGTACTAACACCAGAAAAATCACAAGTCTACTAATATATTCATTCATCACATTTTACTATAATTTATCTAATGACTAAATTCTTTCTTAGTTCAGTTTGGACACTGCTTACTTGCTAATTATGCTGCTTGAATTTGATAGTCAAGTCTTTAGAGAAGAATTACATATATATATAATTCTTTCTCCTCTATAGATGTAATTACATAGTTTAAAAGAGTCAATGTCATTTCTAGAATTATATAGTGTCTGAATTTCAGATATAACATCATATTTATCAAGATACAATAACCAGAGCTGTTTGAGAACAAAGACTAGAACCATGCTTTGCTAAAAGATCAGTTGTAAAAGTGAAAAATACGAGGGAATGTGAAGTAATTATTGAGTAGTTTGAACTAAAACATTTCGAGGAAGTTAATATTCAGGAAAGGCACAGCACTGAAGAGGGAGAGAAACCTTTGCAATCTAACCAGCCCATTAGAATGGACACGTGTGAAGCCCCTGCCGTGCTTGCCAGTCTCTGCAATCAGGACAGTCATCTGTGCCCTTATGATCAACAGAAGGCTTGAACACAATGAGCAGGTAAGTTTAGAGAACCAAGTGAACACATAAAGATAGGGGATACCTTTCAAGAAAACTGAAGATAAAGAATCACTGACTAAGAAAACACATTAAACAGAGTGTAAGACGTGAACTTATGAAGTTAGAATTGCCAGGAAGAGACTGGAGAGAAGCATAAGACAAACACGGACAGAGATCTTGTTCCCGAAGTCTCATCCTTTTCCTCATGAACCTGGAACACATATCCACAGTCTCTTGACAAGACCTTTGTGAATGAGCCCCGAGAAAAGGAAGGAAACATTGTCTTCTTCCCTACATCTTTAGTGTTGATTCTATTTTGTATCAGCTGAAACAAGGGAAATTAGATCTTGGGCCAAAACTCCAGGCTTCCATCCCAGTCTGCACTAGAACCCCTTCATTGTCTCACCTGACTGCCACACTCGTTCCTTTGCATTACAGTGTTTGGGGCTTTTCCTACCTCTGAGTCTCATACAGAGAAATTCCTGTCTGTCATAACTCTATTCTGTCTCTGTGATCAGCACAATATTAGAACCACTGTAACAAATAAAGAAATGAGAACAGAAGAGCTTAAGAGATTCATCATAAGCATTAAATAGCACAGAATTCTTGTGTTAGGTAACAGGGGTGGAGCAGTTAAAATCAAAGAAAAAGGGAAAGAGATCATAATTCTCAGTAACTGTGAGTCTTAGAACCGTGAACCTAGGGAAACATTGGATAACTAACAGCAATTCAGTGCTATAATGTGCATAATGTATTAAGAGAGAGAGAGAGAGAGAGAGAGAGAGAGAGAGAGAGAGAGAGAGAGAGAGAGAGAGAGAGAGAGAGAGAGAGGAGAAAGAGCTTTGAACTTAGTTTCCTGAACAGATTTCTACAGGGAGAGCATGGTATGTGGTATAACTTGTGTAGTCAACAGGTGTTTAAGTGTATGAAAGTAAAGAAGCTCTTTAATTTAAAGAACATCAAAAAACATTTTTCCTAATTCAGCTTGTTTACACTTACTATGTGTGTGAATGCACATTCTTAGTAGGTTCAGTGGATACAAGTATATTGGTTCATGATACAAGCTTGCTCAATAACTTTTGGATGCTAGTCATACACATTACTAATCAGCTCTAAGCTCAAATGTGTCCTTCGAGCAGTAGCATGTGATGAGCTGCCGAAATATCACCTGAATCCTCTTTAGGGACTTTTCATGTCGTCTTCTGCTTTCTTCTCTTATTGTTTCTTTTTCTCTTGTGAACATGGAGAGAATATTAATAACTTCTGAAAGTTTCCCTCATAGGCCCCCCCACAACCATATTTCAGGTACTCTGTCATATATGTTAAGTCTTATCTGGTTAAACATTTGTATCCACATGTCCCTCGGTGCAAATTCATCCGCTGGAGTCTAGTCAGCCTCTCTAGAGCCACTCCCTTAAAGAAGGTCTACTCTCTCTCTCACCCCACAATAATCATTTGCTAATAGTTCCTTAGCTAGGATTGGGGCCAGCTGCCCATTTCCCCCATTATATGCTGAGTTTTTGTCTGATTGAGTCAGCCCATGCTGACTTGTGTGTACTGTCACCATTGTTGTACATTCATGACAAGTTCCAGAGGCCTGAAAGCTTCTTATTCCTTATGCTCATGCACCAACTCTGGCTCTTACTATCTTTCTTCCCCTCTTGTATGATGGTCCCTGATCCCTGGGTTGGGTGAGATTTAGTCTAGGAATCCTATCCAGGGACATGAACTCTATAGTCTCTTTTTCTCTAAAACTTAGCAAGTTTCTTTTTGCAACAGATGGAGACTATCACAGAGTTCCACAATTGTTCACACAGAAAATATACATCTGAGAGATGCCCAGACCTAAGTGGCACATCTACAGTGGAACCTCTATGCCTATGACTCATGGAGCCTAGTGGAACAGGTTGTAGAGAGAATACCAATACATCACTCAACTCCAAAGAGCAAAGCTTTCTCAAACAACAGAGTGTAATTCACACAGAAGGCCACAACTGGCTAAGTTTTAGAGAATTTCTGAAATCTTTTAAATAAAAACTTATCCCCTTTGAAAGTCCTCCCTGATATTTAATAACACCATAGAAAATTTCAGCACAATCAACATATGACAGAGTACAATTTAAGTGTACTGTCTGTTCATCATGTTTATTTATGGAATTGTGTTTATCTCTAGATGATTTTCATTGGATTGTACATTGTGACTCTCCTTCTCAGTCCTAAGTCTGATAGACTTTATGGCTCTTAGATGTTCCTTTTCTAGAGAGTTTACATGAATTATATTGTGACAGTCTCCCTTCATATAATACAATTTTTAGGTGATTTATGTTGTACTATTTTCAGTAACTCATTGCTTTATAATCTCCAAATTGTATTACTTTGTAAATATAGTCAAAGTTTAAGAGCATCATTTCATGTCACATTACAATGATATTTTTTGTAATCGACTCTGTCTTTAAGGTATATAATCACACAATGTTGTATGTACAGTATCAAAGTATATGATATTTATGGATAAAATGCTTTTAAAATTATGGTCGGAAACAGATCACACTGAAAATATAAGAAGTTTTTAATAACACAGGTTGTAATAAAATATAGAAAAATCCCTGCTATTTTATGTACCCAAATGAATCAGAATGGGCACACCATGGAATGAGTTCATTCTATCCTGAAAAATAGCATTCAGACTAAAGCTTAATGATGGATTTCTCCAACTTGATAATAGCTCTTACTAAAGAATGCTATAGATACAGAGGAAGAAGGTTTGATAAGGAATGACATAGTTTGCTAAGCGTTTAAGCAAAGTGCCAATAATTCATGAAACAATAATTTCCTGATACATTTAATTAAGGAATACACAGCCATTTTTCTCTCATTTAGTAACAAAAACAAAAAAATAAAATTACTCGATATTTAAAATTAATGAAAAATGTTTCAATTTTCTTAATTCGCTAAAGAATATACAAGAATATATTTTCTTTATGTCCAATTCCAGCTCTAATTACTTGAGGTAGTCAAAATAATTTACATGTACTGTTAAGAGGCATGCTATGCCAAAATATTTGTGAGAAAGATATGATTTGGGTCACATACTGAGATTTGGAATGTAAGTAGATTATAGATAAATCAAAAGTAACTGAGTCTGGAAATTACCAAGAATTTAAGAGCAGGCTATCGATGTGGGTTTGGTCAGGATAGAGAGTACAGCGAGGGGCACCTGCAAGTGAGATGAAAGCGTAGATTTTACTTACTATCCTGATGACATATTAGGTGTGAGAATGTGATAGAAAAAGTTCACAAATTTGGAAATCAAATTGGAAAGGAGCAACCAGGAAAGAGGTAGTTTATAGGAACTGAAAGACAGAAGCAACTGCAACTGTAGTTTATCTTTGAGGGTAAAAGACGGAACCCAAATCAAGCAAATATTCTAACAAAACTGAACCACCAATAACAGGAAAAATGAACCAACAAAAAGAAAAAGTCTGGATATCAGTGAAATTTGACTCTGAGTTCTACAAAATCAGTTGTGCAGGTCAACAGAAGAACAGGGTCTTAGTAAGGCATCAGGACAGAGGGGATAACAGAGCTCTTTCTAACTATGGCACACTGGTTGTGGCAAGTATGGTTTTTATATGGAGTTGAGCTGTGAAATGGAAGAAAAAGCACGTGTAACAGATGACATGCTTGACTCTACAGGTTAGCAAGGATGGAGACCAGGAACAGCTCAGTGGTGACAGAATTCATCCTCCTTGGCTTGACCCAGTCTCATGAAGCTCTACTACTGGTCTCGGTGCTGGTTTCACTTTTCTACCTCATAGTCCTTCCAGGAAACCTTCTCATCATCTTCACCATTAGATCAGACCCTGCACTCACAGCCCCACTTTATTTCTTCCTGGGCAACTTGGCCTTCCTGGATGCATCTTACTCCTTCATTGTGGCCCCCAGGATGCTTGTGGATTTCTTCTGTGAGAAAAAAGTCATCTCCTACAAAGGCTGCATCACGCAACTGTTCTTTTTGCACTTTCTTGGAGCAGGAGAAATGTTTCTACTTGTGGTGATGGCCTTTGACCGCCACATCGCCATATGTCGACCTTTACATTACTCTACTCTGATGAACCCTAGAGTCTGCTATGCATTATTGTTGGCTGTGTGGCTTGGGGGCTTTGCTCATTCCATTGTACAAGTTGCCCTTATCCTGAACTTGCCCTTCTGTGGTCCAAACCAGCTGGATAACTTCTTCTGTGATGTCCCACAGGTCATCAAGCTAGCCTGCACAGACACTTTCACGGTAGAGCTCCTGATGGTCTCCAACAGTGGCCTGCTCACCCTCCTGTGCTTCCTGGGGCTTCTTGCCTCCTATGCTGCCATCCTCTGCCACGTAAAGAGACATTCCTCCGAAGGGAAGAGCAAAGCTCTCTCCACATGCACCACCCAAATCATCGTTGTGTTTCTCATGTTTGGACCTGCTATTTTTATCTACACTCGGCCCTCTCAGGCTCTCCAAGCTGACAAAGTTGTTTCTCTTTTCCATACAGTCATCTTTCCTTTGATGAATCCTGTGATTTATACACTTCGCAACCGGGAAGTGAAAACTTCCATGAGGAAATTGTTAAATCAGTACGTGGTCTGCTGAATGATATCAAAGAATGAAAAAATTAAAAAGAGAGACATGGCAGTTTAAATCATTCCTTCATTCATGCAGCGAATCTGTTCTCTGGCAAACACTATGGTAGATACTTCTAGTTTTCTGACACTATCTAAGCACACGGATGAGTCAGGTACCATTCTAGTTCTCCCAGGGTTAAATTCGAGCAAATGAAGCCAGGCCAAACTGTGAAACTAGAAAAACACACCAGAAGTGTAATTCAGAAAAGTATTACAGAAGATATCGACTAGAGACATGACAAGCTCTTTCGCTTTGGCTGTAAAGCAACATCTTGAATGATGTTTAGCTGATTCCACAATGATCTGAAGAGAACCAAACACAATATGATTATCTGAGACAAAATAGGCATAACGAATAGCATGGGAACCAAAGGTTTGAGCAGTCTGGTGCATTTGAAGACCACAGAGAATAAAGGAGCTGCAGTGCGGTGGAGGGTATGCTGGCAGGATGGAGGTAGCAGGGCAGGTATCTTCCATTTTAGAATGATTTAAACAATAACAGTAAGATTAATTACTGAAACCTTAAAAAGACATAATGGAAATATGTTAAGAAGATTATCTAATGGTTTCTATTTGACTTAAGGTAAAAATCCCACAAATTCTTGATAAGAGGATGTGTATGAGTAATGAAATGTAGTTAAATGAAGGGCTATCCTGCTGACATGTAGTGTGTTTTTTTTCTGAGCATAAAAATTTAATTATTTTTACTAGTGTTTAGAAGAAAATGAATCTGCGTTATTTAACCAGGGTCTACAATGAAACCCTTTATATGTCTTGAAACTTGGTACAGATTTTGGTTACTCCTAGTCACCATATCTTTTAATCATAAAAAGGAATTTGTGCTTACTCACAAATGATGCCATCCCGGTTACAGCAATGTTAGTTACATTGAGTCAGTCATTATTTTCTTACAGTTAACTAAATTACTCAATATCCCCAATGATTTAATAGTGGTACTTTTATCTGTGGGTAATTAAACCTACCTGTCTAATTAAATTTACACTCCACTCAACAGGAAGGAATTCATTCCTAGTACTGTAAACCTAACCAACTATCGAAGTCTGGAGAGGTCATAGACTGTAGGTGAGAAACTACTGCTGCCATTTTCCTAAGTCAATATAATTTCTAATACATTCTAAATATGTAGCCTTATACCCACAGTGTAGTTCTTATCAAATAAACTTTTTCAGCAGATGGAGACTATTACTGACATCCACAACTGCTCAAAATACAGAGACTAAGTGGCTATGGGGTGCTCATCTCCAGCTGATAGATCTACAATGAAACTTCTACACCTAAGACTCAGGGAACATCAAAGAGGGAGCAGATAAATTGTAAAATCCAGAGGGCCAGGGCACCTGCTGCTGCATGGTGTCTTCTAGACATGAAAGGGAAGCTGTGCCTGTGAAACCTCAGCAGTTTTACTGCCTAAACAGGACCTGCACGACAGCAGCAACTGACTTGTCAATGTAGATGAGGGAAATTTCACAAGGCCCCGTCTCCAGATGAAGATTTACAAGCAATCAGTGGCTACTGAGAGAGGGAGAATCACTTTCCTCCAGGGACGAGATAACTGATGGGTTATCCAGTTTCAATGGTCAGTCCTGATCACATATACATCCTAATGCCACTAAATGTACGCAGTATGATTTTATATCAGTATGTTTTATATCAATATATGCATACATTCATTCACATATATGTAATAATAATAAAGAAGAGATCATGAAATTGAGAGAGTGGGGAGCATGAGTAGAGATGGAGGGGAGAGAGGGAGTGCTGTGATGATGTAAACACAGCACTCCTGTATGAAATTCTCAAAATTTTTTAAAAAGACCAACTGCTGGTGAGGCTATGGAGAAAAGAGAATCTGTATATACTGCTGGTGGTGCATTTATTTAGCTACTATGGAATTCATTACCGAGGTTCAGAAAAAAAAAAGAACTACAAATAATCAACCTATACAATTGCTGTGTATTTACCGAAAGACCATAAGTTAACATATCATAAAGACGTGTTTGGATCACTTTGTATTGTAGCCCTAGTCACAATAACAATCTATATGTCTGTAAGAAAAGAAATAAGGAAAATGTCAGTTCATTCTACAAGGGAATTTATTTACCCACAAAGAAGAATAAAATCATGTCATTTGGAAGAAAATCGGTGCAACTGGAGATGAGATTAAGGGAATTAAATTCACCTTACAAAGACAAATATGTTTTCTTTCACTTGGGCCATATACAATTGATTTTATTGCATTTACACTTATATTTTTTAAAAATTTTACATTTATTTATTTTGTGAAGAAGGGAGTATTACCAAGGTACATGTCTGAGGATTGGAGGACAACTTGCTGGAGTGGGTTCTGTCCTTCTACCATGTGAGTTCTGGGGATCAAACACAATTTCAAGGTTGGGATAGGTGCTTGTGCTCACTGTCTTGCCAGCCCCTCGATTGTGATTTTTGTTCATTATTGTTTCATGGATTTCATTGTAGAGTTCTTTCAAATCACAAAGATATCTCATGCTAGGGCAAGTAGCCATTATTCAAAGACAAATGATAATAATTCCTGGGGAAGAATGTAGATTTACAGAGACACTCTATAGAGCAGCATGGAGCTTCTTCAAAATATGAAAAAAGTACATCATCTGATGCATCAATCCCAATACCAAGCAGATATTCGATAGAAATTAAACAGAATGTTCTAATCACATGCTAACTCATGCTTAGTAGAGTACTACTTGCAATAGCAATAAACATGGAGCCAGCTTAGACACCCACCAACAGATAAATTGGAGAGGATGATAGAAGATAGATAGATGATAGATAGATAGATGATAGATTAGATAGATAGATAGATGACAGATAGATAATAGATAGATAGATATAGATGATAGATAGATAGAAGATGATAGATAGATAGATGATAAATAGATATAGATGATAGATAGATAGATAAATAGGTAGATGATAGATAGATGATAGATAAATAGGTAGATAGATGATAGATAGATGATAGATGATAGATAGATGATAGATAGATAGATAGATAGATAGATGATAGATGATACATTAGATGATATAGATAGATAGATAGATAGATAGATAGATAGATAGATAGATGATAGATAGATATAGATAGATAGATAGATGATAGATAGATAGATGGATGGATAGATTAATGGATGGATAGATAGATAGATAGAAAGAAAGAAAAGGTACGTACATAGGTACTTGATAGACTGTAGACACAATGGTACTAAGTAGACAGATGA